TTGTTTATGTCGCAACAAGAACCAAAGGTAAAAACCTTGACCCGTTGTCTATGACGCAACAAGAACCAGAGGTATAAAGTTGGTTGACGCCACACCCTCGAACGATTAAGAACGAGGATGATCAGTCAGGTTAGAACACCACAAGAATAATCTTGATAAGTTCTGTAAAGTTCTGAAACGAACCAAAGAGAAAAGTCTCTCAAAATCTCAGATTCAATTCCCTCCACAATTAGGGTTACAAGCCCTTTTAAATAGGGAAAAGTAATTCTAATCAGAATAGGAAACTAACACCCTAAGCCCTAATCATAATAACCACGAATTAGGCCTTAAAGAAATGAATGTTCAGCCCAAAATAATATAAAAAACGTGAAAATCACTAAAAGTCGCTTAAAGTAACATGAAATATCAATTTGTTACAAATTGCGACAGAATTGCGAGATTGACGCAAACTGTGTAATTTAGCATAAATGACCTCAATTAAGCTTCTCTTGAACCTAAATAATGTTTATCATGCCTTGATAATCATCCAAGCTTCGATTTGCTTGTTGTATGTTGTTTTCAACCCAGATCTGCTCAATAAGGCCATTTAAAGCTTCACACATCTTCTTAGCTTTAGCTCGCGTGACTGGACCTCCTTGGGTGTGTAATGGATCACATGACGTGGTAGATATGCTGTTGTCTTGATTCCCATCACATCTATTTCATTACCCATATTTGTACCTATTTACCTAATACTTAATTTATACTGGTTAGCATGTTTAATTAAAAAAAAAAAAAAGGAATCAAATATTCACTTGCAAGGATTGTATCTCACATTTTTCCTTATCCACCATTTTAGGTAATGATGCTGGAGACACTAGGGATTAGGGTGTGTGATAGTTTCTTGTTAGATTCAATTTGGACTTAGTTGAGACTTGATTTGTTTTTTTGGACTTTTTTGTGAATATAGAAAGTTGGAGGACTTAATTAACAATTATTGAAGAGTTTGACTTAGAAGTATTTATTTGGATGTTATTTGAATACCAATAATATTTGAGATGTTTTAAGACTTCAATTATTAGTTTTTTCCTTGCATAATAAATGAATATGGTTCTAAGCCTTTTGCACTTATGGGTCCCACTCACAAGGTATAGTGCTTGTTCTATTCTAAGGTTTGGGGCGTGACCATTAATAAGGAATAGAAAAAATGTTATTCTAATCCAATTAGAATTATTAAACTTGGCCTTTAAGTCAAAATAAAAAAAAAACCTAGAAAGAGAAGACTTTCCCTTGTTAGATTGAAATTTGGCTAGGGCTCTAAGCCCCTTGTGCCACCTAAATGCTAAGTCCAACGGGCTAAGGATTTGGCCATATAGTCCTCCTAGGACTTAATTGCTACTCTTGTGATTTTTTTGTCCTTAATTTCAAACAAATCCAAACTTGAATTAATTAAATTATATTATATTAATTCTCTCTTTTCTAATTTGATCTGAAACTTAATTACTATATTTCTCTTGTAAAAGTAATATTTTCATATAAATTAATTGATATCATGAATTTGGATTTATAGAAATCCCAATCCCCAAAACGTACTAAGTGTGTGCCTCTCTAGGTTTCCATGACAATGGTAGTGAGAAACACTCATAAATCAAGAATAGTATCTAGCAACAAATCATGGTCATCGAAAGTGATAGAAAAGTTGATGGTTTTGACAAACCTTGTCTTGACCAATGAACTTGTGTATTTCAATATCTTTGTCACTAATATCTCAACAAAGCAAGAATATGCATGCTACATGTCATCCTTAAATCTTTATATATCTTTCTTTGATTCCCCATGTAGACATATACTACTTAAATGTACCTTTCATTCTTGTCATGGCCATGGACTTTAGAAGTAGTCTCAATTCAATCAAAGTGTTAAAGATACCTTATATCAAAACTTGAAAATAACGAATCCTATCTTGATTCGCCTATTACTCTCATGTGATTCAAGATGCACCCAATAATTGTATTATTCGCAACCTTTAAAAGTGGTTGTTTTTAATAATATCAAAGTACACTAGTCCTTTGATTATTCACCTATTACTCTCTCCATTCTGCACAATTTTTGGCTAGAAAAGCTCAAAAACAAAAATTAAGATGTGGTTTAGTTAGGAGAAATCTCATTGTCATGTGGCTATACTTGTTGATAGGATGAAAGATGCAGAGGAAGAAAAGGGAAAAGGATCAAAAAAAGAGATTAAGGGCTTAAGTAATTGGGTTGTGTAGAATAAGTAAGGGATAACAAAATCATGCCCCACCTATTATATTTTAGTGAGTGAACCATGGGTGTGTGGTTAGATGTGTTGATCTAAAAGGTGCAGATATCATTTCTTATTACATATGTGTGTGAATGCGTGCAAGCACATGTAAGTGGCTCAACTCTTAGGGTTTGCCACTTATAATAGTGCATATCAATTTCGATTTTTATGAAAAAAATTAGAGTCCAATTTAAAAAACACTATCTTCTAATAAATATTTTCAAAAATCATCCATTTGATTAAATGCTCTATTCATGTAAATCATATATACTAATTGTTGACGTACCAAAATGGATGGAGTCGCCATCTATCCAAATGAGGTGGGATAGATCACCAAGGCCTTCGTAGAAATTAATTAGGCTCGGAGGGTCGATTAAGCATGGGGAAGGTATTAAGCACCCCACAAACTTTCATATTTATATGGTTACCACATATTTTAATTTTGAGGTATTTTCCAATTTTTATAAAATAATAATTACCAAATAAAATAAACAAAAAAAAACTTCAAAAAAAAAATCACTTCAAAAAAAAGAAAAAAAAATTCCTCAATCATTTTTTTTTATTCTCCGTTTCCTTTTTTTTTCTTCCTTTTTCCTTTTTTTTTCCTTTTTTTTTTTTGTTCTTTTCTTTTCTTTTCTTTTCTTTTCTTTTTTCCTCAACTTTATTTTCGTTTCTGTTTTTTCCTCCTAATGCCTAAACCCCACCTCATATTTCCTAAGAGATTTTCTTTTCCCAAATCCTTTTTCCTATTATTGTATAATAACATATCCTAAAAAAAAAAACTCATGAATAACATCAAGTTAACTTTTCCTAAACAAGAAAATTCTGCCAGTGATTATTTTGCATCACAGGAAACAAAACTAATGTGGGAGAAGCAAGTAAAATCATGTTGCAGCAGGGACACAACCAATAAACCCCTTTTTTAGATCGATTGCAGACAAACCAGAAAAGAAACAATTTAAAAGGGAAGCCAAGCAATTACCTGTTACAAAGAAAGGAAGAAGAAGGAAGAATATGACAAAAAAAAAAAAAAAAAAACACACCTGAAAAATATAGAAAAATCAGACTTTATATTCCTTGAAATTTCGAATACAAGTTGCTGTACTTCCTCTTCTTCTCTGCTTTCTTTCTCCCTCTCAGTCTCTCCAATATTCCTTCTGAGCTTCACCAATTTTCTCCCCCTTTCCCTCAATTTTCCCCCCAATGCCAATCTCAAAGCCGAAGCTTCCCCTTTTATACAGAAATAGGGAGAACTCAAACCCTTTTCTAATTCTAAATTCTTATCCCAATCCTTAAAATTACAGATAATAATCTAGCCCTATTAGAATTTGGAATTCTAAAACTAATCTAGTTCTTTACACATCTTCCCTCTTTTAAGGCTAGATTCATACCTTTAAAATATTAGGACTCCCAATTTGAATTGACTTTGAAAACTTCTTCTGCAACTCTTGATAAGGGCTTCAAATTCGAAAATCTCTTCTTGTGTTGTTGTGATCTATCTAAACTCCAAGTGGATTTGTAGATAAATCAAAAGAATTTGGGAATTTTGGGAAAGTGGCTCACGGGAAGAAGAAGAATCGTGAAAGTGAGGGGCTAGGGTTCATTTGAACCCAGCCCCCCTTTTCTATTTTTGGTTAAATCCCCATTTTGGTCCCTGAACTATTGTACAGACCCCTGATTTGGTCCTTGAACTAAAGAAATCCCTGATTTGGTCCCTAAACTATTGTACGGACCCCCGATTTGGTCCCCACTGTTTATAATTTGGCCTAAGTTGGTCATTGAACTATTGTACGGATGCCCAATTTGGTCCTTATTGTTTACAATTTCGCCCCAATTTGGTCCCTAAGCTATTATTTAACAGAAGGACCAAGTTGGGGCTAAATTGGTAAACAGTAGGAACCAAATTGGGGATCCGTATAATAGTTTAGGGACTAACTCGGGGATCCGTACAATAGTTTAGGAACCAACTCAGGGGGTCCGTACAATAGTTCAAGGAACAAATTAGGGATTTCTTTAGTTTAGGGACCAAATCGGGGGTCCGTACAATAGTTCAGGGACCAAAATAGGGGTTTAACCTCTATTTTTTTATCCTTCAAGTGAAACGACGTAGTTTTGCAATCTCTTCCCCTCAACCCTTTAAGTTTCATGCTTTTATGAAAATAGTCCACTGACTTTTACTTTTATCATTTAACCCCAATTAAAATTGGGTTATGACAGTTGCCCCCTCTTTACTTTTCTTTTGTAAAAGGAAAAGTAAAGAATAAAAGAATAACCCAATTTTAAGTTTTCAAAACAATGTATAAGTGAAAGTTGCAATCTTCATCTTATCTTTTGCAAGATGCGGTCTTCATCTCCTTTTCTTCATGAGATGCGGTCTTCATCTAGGATGTGACTTCTAAGATGCGGTCTTTATCTTATCCTTTGCAAGATGTGGTCTTCATCTCTCTTTCTTCCTTAGATGTGGTCTTCATCTAGGATGTGACTTCTAAGATG